GAGAGAGAGAGAGAGAATGTTGCTAATGAAAATAAATTAAAATACTTATGTACTAGTAGATCCATCAAATCAATGATCATGATTAAGTCAAATTTTAATAATTGACATTCAAACATGTGGCAAGAATATGGTAAATAAGTGAACGTATATATATTTGACTACTCATAAATGGCAATATGGTCATTTTCTACAAATCCACTCATCCACCCACATGGCCCCACCCCACCCACCAACCATTCACTCTCTCTTACACATGCACACACACATCACACACAACACACACAATCACACAATCACATGCACACCGGCCCTAACGCCCACAACCACCAGCCCCGCCGCCTGGAGCCATAGCCTTCCCCTCTCATTCACACACAAACATACACTCTCAATTCACACACACACACACACACACACACACACACACACAAACACACACACACACACATAACTTCGTTGGTTGATGTCGTCGACCACCGCTAGTTCCCGCTGCCTCCATCATCACTGACTTCCTCCCTCTAACACCATATCCTTCCTCCTTCCTTTAGCTGCGCCAGAGGTCCATCAGTTATCGTGGCTTCCGCTGGAAATTCGGGCTTGATTTGGTCAATTTGGGCCCACAGCCAGCTCTAGAGAACGCGTTTCTCGCCATGCAGCGGCAGGGATGGTTCGGGACTGGGAGACGATCGAAAATTTTGCAGTCTTATAATTGGGGGCTTCTTTATTTAAATTTGATAAGTTTTAGGAACTTAATTGGAGTTTTAGAAATTTTATTATACTATAATTTTGTTCACGAGTCAAATTTGTAATATAATAAAAAAATAAATAAATGCACGATAATGATAAAAGAAGTGCACAATATCGTGCGTGTATACGCACAAAAAATTAAAAAATTACCAAAATGACAACGAGCTACAGAATGCACAATATTGTTCATTGGCCTGTTCGGTCGAACCGATCGATCAGAATGTAAAAACTGAAACTAAAACTAAATAATCAGTTTATTCGGTTGGACAATCGACTTAAACAATTTAATCAAAATGAATTATATTTATATTCGGAAAATATATCAAGTATTTTATTATCTTTATTTAATACTTTTTATTATTTTTAATTAAAAAGACTTACTATATACATATTTATATATCTATTATTATATATAAAGTTATAAAAGCATGGCGACAAGTGGCTGACTTGTGTGCTTGAAATTTGTCATTTTTGGGATCAATTACTGGAATGCCCTTTTTCCAAACAAACACAAGAGCATCACTTCACACTAGACGTGGCCAATTCCAGGGCCAGTTGTCGGCCCGCCCATTTATATGGATCGGTTTTTATAGAATTGACTCTGAACTGCCAGTTCACCAGACCCATATAAATCGGCTCCGAACCACCGGTTCACCAACCCACCCATTTATATGGGCCGGATCCAATTCACCAAAATGCTGAACTTAAACCACCGATCTCAAACCGAAATTGAGTTTTGTCAACGCCTAAATCAGAACATGTTCCCACACGCACACAAAAATAAATAAATAAATAAATTAAAAATAAAATAATGTCATAGAGTACAAGTGCACGTCTGACTTGAATTTCATAATTGAATATGTATATACATTATACACCCCCAAAAAAATAATAAAAAAAAAAAAAAAAAATTGAAAAGAAATGAACCAGCCCACTGAAGCGGCCGTCCAGCTCAAACCTTGTCGTCGTTAGTCCGGCCGGCCTCTCCTCCCTCCCTCCTACGTGTCGCGAATACCACCGCACACAAGATCCCTCTGACCACCCTGACCATCCCGACGGTGACCGTGAGATAGTAGAGCCACCAGCCCATGATATCCGCCGCCCCTGTCCCAATCATCAGTTCCCTCCTCACCTCCGCCACCACCACCAGCGACTCCACCTCCTCCCTCACCCGCCACCACCAAACCCACCCGCACCCCGCCGCCACCGCTGCCCTGTCCCCCCACCCCTCCTCCCTCCGCCGCCCGAACACCGTGTCGTCCACCACCGGCTTCACCGCCACCCTCCACCACCACACCGCTGTCTCGTGCATCCCCACGAAGAAAACCGCCCGACAAACCGCCCCGTTCCCCCTCCCGAACCCCGACCCGTCGACCCCCGCAGCTATACTCCCCTCTATTCCCATCCCCACGCACACCTGCGCGGCGCAGAGGAAAATCCAGGCGGCCCACAAACGGAGCGGCCGCCTCCGGTGCGCATTCCGGCCGCCGCCGCTGCCGGGTCCGATTTTATCGGTTAGAGCGTGGACGAGGGCGGATACGCTTACAACGGAGACGAGTAAGTGGAGGATCGTGGGATTTTTGGCGTGCGATAGGAAAAACGAGCGCAAAAAGGAATCATCGGAGGAGGAAAGGAGGTAGGTGTCGGAGGCGGAGAGGAGGTAGCGGGCGGTGGAGAGGCGGCCGAGGAGGAGGAAGGAGAGGGGGAGGAGGAGGCTGAGGAGAGTGGTTGCGACAATCTCAAACGGTCGTCTGAATCGGTTTTCTTTCCCATTCCCATTCGTTCGAAATTGATGATCGCTTTCGGATGATGATGAGCTCAAATCCATTTGATTAATCGACTTTTTCAACTGTAAATTGATGCATGTATTTGTCACAGCATACTGAATATGAGGTTATATGAGGTGTTTTTGTGTGTGTGTGTGTGTGTATTTGCGCGTGTATTTGGTGTCATGCCGAGTAATCGAGTTGAAAGGGAGGAAAAAAGAAGTGAAACATGTTGCCACGACTTGGTTTCAAGGAGCAGCACCACCATCACCAAACTTCTAAAGTCTAATAAGCTTTCCACTTGCTTTACTAAATTATTATTTTATATTAACGGGAGATGTTACGATCTCGTTATGAACTATTCTGTTGGAGTTTGTAATCGTTAGATCAACTATTCCCGGCGGTTACAAACCACGACGAAATTGTTCCATAACGGGACCGTAATATTTCTCTAAATTAATGGCTTGTTTGAATGAAATATGATTTGTGATTTGGTTTGGTGCTTGGTAATATATTTATTCTTTGAAGTGATCAAATGTTGGAAAGTTTCGCTGTGTTATGTATGGTTGCACCAAATTAATTATTAGTGATTGTAATTAATCTATGAGTTTTTAGTTAACTTGGCAAATTTGGTTTGACGGATAATCACATTTACATTGTTAGAAGAAAGTTACAGATTAAAATATTTAAATATGATTGGCCTGTTGCTTGGTAATATGTTTATTCTTGTAAAAGTGATCAAGTATGAAAGTTTCACTTTGTTATGTTGTCGTCCCTGTGGTTCTATCCGGCTCGATTCTGGATTAGTCGATTTCCCTGTGGATCCGGAAACCGGAAGGTCGATGTACAATATATATATATATATGTATATATATATATATATATATATATATATATAATGATTAAAATCTTTGAGTTTTTTCAGTTGGATGATGGAGTTAATTTAATCTATTTAGCAAACTGGTTTGACTTTCATCAAATAATCCCATTAAATTATTAATAAATACTTAAGATTGGTATCATATTATGGTGCCACAACATGATGTGGCACATTATGATTGGCGCCACAACTATCACACATCATGTTGTGGCACCAACCATAATGTGCCACATCATGTTGTGGCACCATAATATGGTATCACATGTGGTGCCATAGAATTTCTGATTAAATATATAGGCATCTATATTTTTTTTTTAATTATTATTCGAGGCCACAAAATGATTTCAGACTTCCCTCATTGGAATTTAGAATTGTAAATGCTTTCTTCTTTTTTTACTTCTGAAATGAATCGGAGTTTATTTTTATTTTATTTTACTTTATTTTATTTACTCTAAATTGAACTAAAAAAAATACTTTGTCTCAAAAAAAA